ATATATGTATATATACACATTATCATATTTATTATTTTAAATATGCTTATCTCTTTAGATTTAAAAACTTATTTTCTTTTAAAATGTATCTCATGTCTAATAGTTTCATTTGCAGCAAATTTGTATAAAACATTCCCTTATAACACAGTAATAATAATGGCAAAATTAATGACCGTGCACCAGAATTTAATTATTACGAAGCATTTAAAAATTTAATTACTACGTATAATTAACGCGAATCTCCAAATACATTTATTTAATATCTGTGCCATATAATACAACCATGTGCAGAACTGTTTTTTAGATATTTAAGATATTCTTCCTTCAAACTTTTATATATAATTTGGTGTTATTTTATAATGTGTCATTATACCGTAAAATCGTGCGCGTAGTGCTGAAGGAAATTCAGATACGCATGACCCAGGATGCCCTAAGTACTATAGAGAGGGTAACGTTTTATTTAATCATATTCGCCCCAGTTTGGGTAAATATACTATATCGTAGTTCGAGAGAAATCTCTTTAACCAACGCGAGGCGTCGGCGATGTACATACACGCAGATATCTGTGTGCATATAGTATCACGTGTACACGTGTAATAAGGAATTCCACAGACATGTTGTGCAAATGGTGCAAAAGATCATCATCTGACTTGCGTAATCTGTTTTCATACAAGCGCAATTTCTTGCAACATGTTAATACCTGGTTTCCATAAATTATCCGTGACCATTAGGATTTACGAATATATCGTCGAACGCATCTACCTCGTATGTTATAAAGCTAACTGCATAAATTAGAATTATTCTGACGCTAATACGCGAAAAATGTCGAATTAAATAGTGAAATTATAGGAAATCTCTAGAATAGCCGCGAATAAACGTTTTCGTAATCCTATGATAATAATTAATTCTGTTTAGCTGGATATATCTTTTTATAAATGAGAAACAGAATATTATTTAATTATAAGAGTATGCTTTTTGTCAGAAAGTTAAAAATTTATTATAAAGAGTTAAGTTTTTAAGAGTGAGCACGTTACATCAAAATCCGCGAGAAAGGATCCTTTGAACGTGTATGTCGGCAACGTACACGCAGATAGTATCTGTGTATGTACGCACGTGATAAGTTTTAGCTCTCTCAATAAAATAGATATATTAAAATATAAATATCCTTAAATATAGAAATTTATATTTTCTATATAACAAGTTGGAACAAATAATATTTGTTTTCGATAGTTATAATAGGTTTTAAAAAACCAAATAAATTTAAATTACTTTTACTTTCTTTCTCATTCATTGTTTATATTAAAAGTTTTTTATCGTAAAAATAAAAATTTCAAAAATAATATGATTATTTAATTTGTCTCTTGATTATTTCTATTGTAATATATAATAAAGTATCTTTAGCGCGCGCGGAAATTATTGATAGAGAACATTTTATTTTATATAATAAGACACACACACACATACAAAACATAAAAATATTTAGAATTATAAAAAAATACACACTACACATAGTATTACTAGAATTAATAAATAATTATGTGTATATATAATATGTTTCTCGACAAAACTGTTTTATTTAGTATCAAATCAATATGTTAATAGAATTTAAACGCTGTAAAGTTAATATAAAGCTAAATACATATATAATAAATACATATATAATATACAATAGAACAGAAAAACAAATATTAAGCTTGACAAAATAGAAGTGGACAAATTTGACAAACATATGATTGCTTTGACGTGCGTCAGTTGCGGAAATAGCAGCGGTTTATCACAAATATCGGCTAACCGGCCATTGTGTTTTTTATCTTCTTCTCATATTGCGTTTTCGCAAATTGCAAATAACTGCTCGACAATCTTTCTGTAATTTTATCAATATCTCGTAACGCGCATAATTTTATCAATATTTTGTAACGGACGAGAAAACACGGATCGCGCGTATACTTCGAGAATTAATTAATTTGTCGTTAATTGTGTCGCGGGACAACAAACGCGATAAAATTACACTTATGTAGCATTATACATTACGGTTTATCAATAATAATTACTCGATTATTACAAATAGCATTTCTATTGTGTGTCATTATGATACAATAACATCGCCGAATAGTGGATGCAATTTTCTGCATGCATTGTGTAATCGTAACTGATTATTAAAGAACAATTTATCGTGATGACGCAGGCATCTCGCGCAAAGTCTTTTATAATTTACATAGCAATCGTTGGAGCATTATTTTCAGAACAGGCAGCGTGATCGTTCATGCGGATAAAATGACCACTAAGTAATTTGCAAACGAGATCCTCGAGTGCGAATCGATAACTGCGTTCATTATGAAAAGAAAACTTAATATTCATGTATTCGCGGTCGAATAATTTTTATTCTTATGAATGCTGTTCAGCTATTTCTTTAGCATAATATCAGACTTTTTATTGCACTCACAACAAAATTTGCCTTCAAGTATTATAACCATTCAGATACGAACAATGACGTTCGCAACTTACTTTACATAAAACCGCATATGGGTAGAACCGAATACAAAGCTGTGATGCAAATGAATTTATAATAATCGCAACACAAACACTGTGCTCTTTAATTATGCCCTTAACTATGCATCTAATAAATGTATAATAAATATATCTCCAAAGTAAAATCGCGACGACTGGATAATCGGGTCCAGTAAACGACAACTAAACGAGATAGCACAATAATTTTTAGAGTTTATAAAAAATATATAGTTATCAAATTTTAAAAAATAACAAGTTTTTTTAAATAACTATTAATTTTATCAATAAACTATCACGGTGTCTTTTATTCGTGCAGTTTACTGATAGGCTTCATTAAAGAAAAACAAATTTATTTATTGTATTATCTATTTATAGTAAAATTCGACGGTCGGTAGAATGTGTAATGTAAAATATAATTAGAAGAAAATTGAGGAAAAGTAATTTCTTGTTAATATAATATTAATAAATTAAAACTAATTAACTGTATTTGAAAATATATAATACAAAATTATAAGAGAATTAATAGAATAAATTTTTGCTCATTAAATTATAAATATGTATATTAATTTATAATTAAAAGACATCTCTGTCAATATATTGATATTCAATATATCGGTAAATTTTCTCAATTAATTTAGTTTTTACTCGGACTTTTTATGTCAATCAAGTTTCTATCTAAATTTCTCAAAATTTTGCAGTCTTGGCTCATAAAAATGCGATTCTGCTTGCGCGTGATGAATGTTTCTTATACGTACATTTCCTATGCACCGCGCCATAAAAAAAAACAGACTTTTTCGCTTTTATTGAAAAAACGTTGACGTGCATAGAAAAAAAGTTGTGACGAGTAAAAAATGAGATTGCGCGTTAACGAACGAGCGTTTCGTATGACAGCGCAGCGTGTGGCTGACCATAAAGCTCCTTATCTACTGCAAGAAACTTTCTATCGCCGGGCTTTCCGCCGGTCAACCGATAACAATTTTGTTATCTCGTCGCTTATAAACTGTGCTACAAGTAAAAAGTAAAACAAAGTAGCTCGAAAGTAGCTTGTTCGATAAACAGATTCCAGAAAATTGCATAAAGATTTTCGCAAAAGACAAATAAATTGTGATATGACTATATATTTGACCAGATGCTTCTAATATGACATATAAACCTAGTTTTATAAAATATAAAAGTAAGAAAGTGGTGCTATGATATATATTTATTTAACTATAATATTATTCCCTCGATAAGTCAAATTATTTTGTTTTTTTTATTTCAGTATTTATCGATTACTCTATGATCTGCGTATACAAATAAAATACATTATCCAAAGCTGATTCATTTTTCATATTTAATAAACACGTCGGGAAAATCATATAAATTTTTGCTAAAAAAATTAATAAATTATGATGTAATAAGCAACAAAAAAAGGGAAATAAAAAAGAGCTCTTTCTATTGTGCAATAAGCAACAAAAAAAAAGAAATAAAAAAGAGCTCTTTTTATTGTTTCATAAAATTGTATTATGTTTTACGAAGCGGAAGAGCTGATTTATCGAGGATATATTTTTTTTTAATGATACAACATTCTCACAAAGTAAATCATTTTCACATTATTAGACGCAATGTTGGGCATATCGCAAAGCGATACTATTTAATCGTATTTTGCATTGTGAGAATTCCACAGTAGAATAGAGGATACGGTATTTACCGTTGTAAGAATAAAGGCACTCTCTAAAGCCAAGTTTCAGATATGCTCTTTTCCTCGCTTTATGAATGAGTTGCTGCTTCTGACGTAAAACTGCAGAATGTAATTTTAATTTGCCTTTGAGTACTGTCATTAACTGGCGAACTTTTGAAGAATCATTGAGTCAATTGCGTAATATTTAGATGTCACACTGATATAAATCACATTTCTTTAAGTTTGCGAAACACGAAAAAGTTTTTATACAAAATTATTCATATTATTTGTGTATTAATTTAGATATCTTATTTTATATAAAAGAGAGAGAAAGAGAGAGAGAGAGAGAGAGAGAGAGAGAGAGAGAGAGAGAGAGCACTTTTTCTCTTGAGTCTATAAACTTATATTACTATATCTACTTAAAAAAAGCAATGTAGTAACCATAGCATCAAAAGTAACATGTATATATATAATGTAATATTATATATTTTAACCTTGTAATTTATTTATGTGCTAATATTTTATTTCTTAAATTATGTCTTTTGTTACTTTCTATACGAGATATAATGCGAAAAATGCGAAATATTAAAACTTCTTTTATATATAGAATGTATTTTTCTTGTTTGTTGCAGAGGTATCGCATTATTCAACGAATCTTGAAGACAATGAGGATGTTATTGAGGTGGAACAGGTAAAATGTGTTTCTTCTATTCTTACATAAAATGCTTATATTTTTATTCCTACTTTTTATTTTTGTTTTTATATGGAATATGACAACTAAACCTGTGATAAGTTTTGTAAAATCTCGAAAATACGTATCTGTATCCAAGATTAAGTTTGCGCTTTAATGGAGTGTGGGCGCAACAAACAAGATCACATTTAACATAAGAAAAGTTATCTTGACTTTTTGCAAACTATTGTATCCACAGAGTTGATTCAATTCCGCTGGGAAATCTTCGCTATGGTATCCTGTTTTCTTTATTCCGTTCTGAAATCATTTTATGTGTGTGTCAGGTTACAACTAATTTTTTTAAAAAAGTCCACTCTAAAATTTAAAATAAATTTTAAATTTCATTAATAACAATAATTGTAAAATAAAGTAAATGTCATAAAAACAGTTTCATTTAATATAAAACTTTAAAATTAAAAAAATTAATAACATCCAGAGATTGAAAATGTTTTCAACAATAGTATATTTCTTTAATAAATAATTTATTATCAACGCTTATAATTTAAAAAATCTTTTTAAATTTATTTTTATTAATTAAGGATATCCTAAAACAAAACAAAGTAAAGACAAATTGTTATAATTAATGTAATTACTATCACGTTACATTTTATGATATAGAAAATATTTCTGTTCAGAAAGAAAGTATTCCTTTGGGAATATTTTTATTATAGTTATAATTAAATGCATATCTTTTGTTTTCGTGAAATAATCTTCGTGAAATAATCTTAATACGCGACAATAACGATATATACCGTCGCGATAGTAGCCTTTTGAATAGTGTGTTGATGTTCTGAGTGTTGTCGGAGCGTTAAAGTAGCAAATGTGTGCGTATCATCTGATAAAAAACGATCCTGTCACACCCTATATTGCAAACGCATCAGATGGCTCAGGCATCGCTTCTAAATAATTTTCAGTGTTATTCACAAACAGAAAAATAAATTGTCACGAACACGTAATACAATATTGTTCATTGACGGAATAATAAAGCTGATACAAATCGAATATCAAAGAATGAATGTCATGGAATGTCATGGAATGTCAAGGTGCCGGCGCATGATTAAAAATAACTTAAGAAAGCTCTCTAAAGTTAAATTAATAATACGTTAACTCAAAAGAAAATGTTAGTCTGAAGTAATTATTACCTTTGTTAACTTTAAATTTCATAAAATTTATTTGATGCCGACAAACTTCTTGCTTGCATATTTCTCTAAAATAAAGAGAGAATTCCAAAGAAAGTTTTATCAAAATTTCTCTTTCAAAATTATCCTAATTAATCTCACAAATTAACTTTACAGTATAAATTATACATAACTAAGCAACGCTGTTCATTATAGAATGTGGGGGTGCGCCATGATTGATAATCATTGTTCTCGATGATGAGGACGCAAGATGAGATCTCGATTTTATATGCACATAACATACACGACCGATGTTACTACGTTGCGGTAAACCATTCCATTCAGCTTTTATGTCATAGCCGAGGAAATGGTGCGTGATGACAAAATCGATTCATATGCTCACCATCATACGATGCGTGAGAACGTGAAAGCGTGACTGTTTTCACAATCTTAAATGAACCGATAAATATCTTTTATAAAGCATCTTTCACTGCGATCAGAGCATTGTATTCGTCCGGAGCGATAGAGAAGCGAACGATTGCAGTTCCACGTAAATACATATTTGCCCCAGCAAAGATAATATATCCTCATCGGAAATAGAGAGTGCGATTCGAATGTATACCTTTCGCGATTTGACGCAAATTTAATCGTTGATTTTATCCGTGAGAATATATGTATTGTTATTTTATTGTTTATGATAACTTATCAATAGCGCGCGGATTTAAAATAACGAAATAGCTCTTTGTTATTGTCTCCTCTTCCGAAATAAAAATTTCTACATACGTGCTCAATATATACACGATACAAATTGTTGTGAAAAGGGCAAACTTTGATATTTTCAACGGAAATATTACCTACGCAGAAAATTGTAAAATTTGTACAACAAATATAAAATATTCATTAAACTAATTCTTCGCGTTGCAATTACACAGGATACAAAAGCTATTTAATAAACATTGAAAAGTCAATTTAATAATGTCAACGAAAACCAATCCATTACAGTGCTTTTATGTTGAAGAAACTTGTCTGACAGTTGATTATCTGACAGTTCTGTTCGAGGATGACGTATCATTTCTTGTAAACACGATCTATAAATAAACGTTTCGTATAAATATCCTTATAGCTCGGACAATCGCGATATAACTGATGGACATGCAAAATTTGCATAAATGAGCAATGCATATCTTCGTAAGTTGGAGAATCGCAATTTTGTAATGCTTTCAATATGATTTTATTTTGTTTTTTTAACTTTGCAAAGTCTTAATAAAATATAAGTAAATTAGAAAATAAATTGCGAGTAATTCATGGAATTGTGTCTCTTCGATAACATAGATTAGTTCAAGTTTTCTCTTTTAATAGAGAAACAAAGTAAATAATTAAAGCAATTTAATTAAATGTAAAAGTGAAATAGAAAAAGAATAACTTCAACGCTTCCTTACTGGAATTGAAATTTTAACGATGATAAAGCATTTTCTGATTTTATAAGAGATACCCGTAAGTTCTATAACGATTTTTTTGATTTTACAAGGAATTTATAACTTTATCATTACCGATTCTTTTTAAAGAATTCATAATTTCGTCATTAACGATTCTTTTTAGCTGCCTTTTTTTAAATTCATATATTTTATATTCAAGAAGAACACAGAGAAAGACAAATAAAACGGACGCGATGATGAATATAATTGTATCAAAAATTTCGTAGTGGAGCCTTTCGTGCTTTCTCGAGCGTAAATAATAGATCATCTTTTAGCGGGTCTCCGCTTTGGAGCCTTTTCAATATCGTTTTTTTTTAAATATTGCATGGTTATCTTGCGGGCGTCTATTCGTACTCAATTTATCGATCTACTATTTTTACTTAAATATTCACATTTCATGTCATGCTATTTCTCGTGTGTTTTTCACAGGTGCGTGTGGACTGAATGCGTTCAAGCTCGCAATCGTGATTCGAATTACTTTACTTATAGTAAGAAGTGTAACGAAGAAAAGGCAATATTTTTCTTTGATGTAGAAAAGCTTTTTTTACATTCTGTAAACAATTAGTAAATTGTAAGAAATTAATACGTATCTAATCTGTAAAGATATAATCCTTTAATTCCTCAAATTAAGAATTAGTTTCAAAATATGTAAAAATCTTCTTTTATTCCTTTTTATTTATATTAACGGTTTTGAAAATCAGTTAAATTTAATTCTTTAATAAAAAATTAAAATTGCATATTTTTTAAACTTGTTGTGGCTGTAATCTATGATACGTATGCAGCAATTTTTGCTATATTTAATAATAAATAAAATAATAATAATATATAAAAAATTATGTTCTTAAAATTAAATAACATATATTATAGTTTTTCTTTCTAATCCATATTAAGCACTTCATCTATATTTAATGTTGCTTTACAGAGAGAGAGAGAGAGAGAGAGAGAAAGAGAAGAGTTTATTTTACTTTATTTTACAGAGAAGCTTAAAATAATTATCTTTTTACTCGTTGGATAGCACATTGTTAAAAGAACATTGTTAAAAGGAAAGAAATAAAAATTCAATTTCGTAGAATAAATATTTGTCAGTTCAACTTTTACCAATTTTTTTCAATCTATTAGTATTTAAATTAAGTGTGGAATGTGAAAGATGAAAGAAAATTCTTGGTATGCGCATTCTAAATAATTCATTTCTGATTTTCCAGAGCTTCACGTGGAATTTAGGAGGACCAGTGGATGAAACGGAAGTACTGCAATTGGCAGTCGTGTCTCGGGGAGTCTTGAGAAACGAAAAAGTCGTAGCGAGGTACGGATTGATATTGCAAACCGTGGTGCGCGAAGGAAGGATCCTGATCTCGGATTCTCTAGTTGACCTCAATAACAAACCGCTTCCGGTACGTTCTGATATCGAAACGAATAATTGAACATGTAATCGCACAAATATATACGCAATATTTACGCGAGCGTGTTGGGGATACATAATTTTTACTCTATATTCAAATATGACACCAATATTCTATTAAAGATTTTGCTAAATGGCAAGCAGCATCGAAATTTACGATAAATTTGATCTAATATTGTTATCTCATTGTTAAATGAGCTTGGAACTAACTACATTTCTGTATCAAAGAAAAAAATTAGAGCACAAGATATTCATGATTCAAGCGACGAGAAAGCAAAAATGGCAAATGTTTCATAGATATATATTTCATTCATTAGAACAACAAACCTAAATTACCCGAGATCGTAATTTAAATTTCGCTTCTTTTACCTACGCTTTTTGCTCTCACAGTAATGCTCTGTCTCTGAATACATTTTCGCATAAAAAGTACCTACGTGACTGACATAGTAACGTTTTAAACTTAAACAGACAAATGCACTCAAGGTACAAGTGGCGTAATTTGATAAACATGCACACTTTAAGTGCATTTCTCTTTTTCTACAATATAACACTTGTTCCTTTGAATGAACAAAATATATAACAAATAAAGAACTTATTATCTTAATAACTTATTAGCCGTTATATTGAAAAATACATTATATTGAAAAATTTGACAAATTTTGTTTAATTTTGCAACTCTTGCAAAATGCCTTCCTTCATCTTTGTATAAAAATCTAACAGATTTTCTTTTTCTCTCTCTTTCTCTCTTTCTTTTTCTTGTATTTGTATGTTAATTTACTCATTAGGCTATTAGACAAAAAAATAAAAACAAAATTGTTATATTACAAAATTGATTATATTACTGGTAATTCTATTTTTATTGCTATTATTGTTATTGGAAAAAGCAAAGTTTCACATTAGTCGATTTTCAAGTTCATTTTTATTATCTGACATTTAACACATTGCTGCGTTTACCGTTGCAACAAGTAATTATTCATAACAAAAGCGCTCTAAAAATAAAATGTCATGTAAAATCAAAATGCAGTATTTTGTTAACAAAGTTGAAATAATCGATGGAAAATATTTTCCGCAAGATAAACAAGATTTATTAATTTTCCTTGTGGTCTTTATGATTTCTGAATTGCGTGTTGGTTCTTATAATTACCATATAAATTAGCAAATAGAAGGACGAAATAGAAAAGAAAGCAAAGCAAATAGAAAGACGAAGCAAAGCATTTTTTCCTTCTAACATTGAAAATAATTTAGATGAAACCACTTCCCGAAAAATCGTTCAAAAAAATTGTTATGGTATAAATTTTGATAAGGACAGCATAATAATATATTCTTTAAGTCTGAAAAACTCTTGATATTTTATACTTCTCATGCATACATATATATAATTAATACATCATAAACCTTGGAGTTCTTTATCTTTATAAAATCATAAAAAGGCATTATGATAAAAAATAGCCAATCCTTTTCTTTGCTTCTACAAATTTACTGTTGTTTCTCGGAAATAAAAAAAATACGACATATATCTCTGTTTTATAGCGGATTCAAATATATTGTTCTTTATTTTCTGAGAAGCGGGCTATTAAAAAAAGGGAAAAGAAAAGAGAGAGAAATATATATGTATCATTTTTTCAAATATTTATAATATCTAAGGTTGCTAGATATTTTTCTTGACTGTGCGTGTTTCCCATCAGATTGTGGTCTAAATTATGTCGTAGCATTACTTCAGCTGTCGTCATTGTAGCCACGCGATCTCGTGCGCAGCATAAAAAACGTAGCGCAATACTTCTAGTTTCTCTCAGCCTTCTCTCTTCGACGATTATCTTAATTTTTGCCGAACGGTCCCTTTTGTAATCCGCTACTATCTGTGCGCGTAGGCAATGGTGTGCTTCGAAATTCGATACAATCCCCCGGATGGAAGTTGCAGCTCGTACGCGGTCTCGGAAATAATGGAAGATGAGCAGCAGATGTTAATCGATATCGAGCAGAATATCGCGAACCTCGAGAGAAGTCTCGAGCAGGCCGACAGCAGCACGACCAGCGGGAAAAGACGGGGCTCCTGGCATACCCCTGAGAAATCAAAGAGGGGCTTCTTACCAAGGGGCATTTCTATGTCGACCGGCGAGAAGTCAACTGACACCCGGAAGCGGTGAGTGACGTATTGTCAAGCGATAAAATGACATTGTTTTATTATGAGAAATGCACTCTTTAAAAATGTATCCTAAATTTTTCAGATCATGCTTTTATACGCTGTAATATCTTTTTAAAAAATACATATCCACTTCAAAATTTCGTATCTAAATTTGTTGGAATACTATCGATATGCCCTTTTCAACTTTTTAAATGATTTCTTTATATTTGCAAATTGGGCGATTAAATTGCATCAACAAATTTGCTTTGGAGATATTTTCGGAATCATTTGAAAAAAAAACCAATTAATGTGAACAAACAACAGAAATTTCGTAAATATGGAAACCGAGGTTAACAAATTATTTTGCAAATATAAACATGACTAAAAAAGTTCTGTCAAAATCAACAAACCATATTATATAATTAACCGCGTATATAATACATATCTTATTAATAAAATTTATATTATTTCAAAGTTGTGTAATGTGTGTGCTCCCAAAATAAACGGGTCACACTCACACAAGTGATAGTGTATTTTTTATTCATTTTGCTGTAAAATTGTTCTGTTATTGGCATAATCTAATTCTATTTTGCTTTTTTGTGCGCGTTATCACAAACTCCTATCTGAATACAATTTACGCAATTTAGCATTAAGACACACGACGAATTGTCGTTTTTTATTATATTCTGTTTCAATAAATATCGCAAAATAATACGTAATTATACGTAGATTTTCAAGAAATGTGGAATCTTTTTAATTATTTTTTTTCTCTCTCTCTCTCTCTTTTTTAAAGTCATCTAAACGCATCTCTTATGCAGTTTTGCTTTTTATATTCATTTTTGCGAGATGCTTACATGCAGTATGCATATGTATCTTTGATTACTTTTTATCTACTATTAAAAGTGTAAAAAATATATATTATATTTAGATGCATGTACGTAAATTGTACAGATTTTCTATTTTAATCAAATTTTACGAAAATATAAAAATACATTTTATTCGAAAAGTTTTGATATTTATTTCTTGCATATTTATTTTTGCAAAATATCTATAATGATGCGTCTTTATAATTGAAAACATTTATCTTTTACTGTTACATTATCAAAAGCGTTACAGAAAGCTTTGAAGTAGTTTTGATTTACTATTAATTGATATTGTTCAATTGCTAAATGTATTAAAGAGATGCATCTTATCTTTACTTTATTCGAGCTCTCGAAATGGCAAAAAAAAAAAGAAAAATTATAATAAAAGTTGCGTATCCAGAAAACTGATATATTGACTCATAATTGATATATAAACTCATATATTTATTTTTGCGAAAGGTATCCGCATTTAGTAACATACCATTATTATCGTTAAAATGTGTACTTTTTAATTATCGTATATCGCGTAGGCATAAGTCGCGTCTATTTTTTGCTCCATTCAAGATCAGAATTTCGAATGAATAAATGAGTCGCTAATTAAAGCGGCGTTTATCGATTTTTCCGAGTAACTTCTATTGACTATCCACTTCGATGCAGTTTCCATCATTAACGTGTTATTATTGTAAGGTACTGTTACATTGTCGTGTCATCGAAACGTGAAAAGATTGCTTAATAAGGACATCCGGTAATGTCGGTGACGCTGCTGATACGTTAAAGTTCGTTATCGCGGCTTTCTCGATAAACCTTTTAGTGACGTAAAGGTCAAACTAGGGAGACATGAAAAATATAAACGCTGATTTAATACACCGAATATATTTAGCGAATATATATGTTGATTTGCGAATCTTTATTTAATTTTCAATCTCTATTAGCGTCTTAGATTGCGTTAAAATTACTTTGCGTCAAGGAGTTTAAATCAGTTTATACAGTTACATTAATCATGTAAGTAGCAAACTTTTGTGTGTGTGGGTAAGTATGTGTGTGATAAATGAAACTCTTAGTTGCTCCTACAAAGTACTTCTCGTAAAAGTAGAATTAAATCTCTTACGAACTAATACAAACAGTAAAAACTTTTTTTATTGTTCAACACACTTACATACATATAATCTCAAGTAACTTCGCAAAATTTTGTTTATCTTTTCATTGTAAAATTTTATTAAACTTATTGCACAATTGGTCTTAAATTTTTTTTACTTGTCTGTTTTTCAAAACGGAATAAAAATATGATTTATATTACTGTATATAATCTATCAGGTATTACTGAAATCTTATCCTGATAGAAAGAAAGCTACTTTTTATATTTTGCGACCATATACCGGCTTCTTCGGTAAACTAGATTCTCCTTAGGGAGTGCCATGGCAATTCCTGTCACTACCTCTCGACGTAGGAACGTAATCGAACGTAACCCGTGGCTGTCCATATGTGTAATAATGTGCCTGTGACACATTTTCATTCGCAAAACTACCAACGCCGCTTACATTCGCGGCAATATTATAATCAATAAGAATCGAGGTAGAGAGAATGTGACATATTGTTGGTGTAAGAAAATATAGGACCCTCGTCAAATTTGTTCCCCTTTTGGCCAGTAGTATGACACGTGTTTCACCCAACGGATTATAATGACGTATGAAATATATAACATAATTATCTCGGTTTCATTGAGGTCTTTAAAACCTTATTTTTTAAATATTTTACTAATTATTGAAGAGATAGAATAAATAAATTTAAATAAAATGTAAGATTTAATTTTTATAATATATATAAATATAAATTTTATATATTGTTTTTTATATATTGTTTACAGTTATTAATCTATAAAGTAATCGTACTTTTCGAGAACTGTTTAATAATATTTTTTACGATTAAAAATTTTTAGATATATTAACCATGCTTCTCTCCTTCAACATTCTCGATGCACAACAATAAGAAATTCGATCGAAGTGATATAAACGTGAGATTCTAGTAAACGGCTTTTCAAGCCATATAGAGAAGTTATATTTATATTCTGCGGAGAAGATATACAAACTGAAATGGACTGAGACGTATTTATTTCTAGAGAATTTATATTGAATGTTAAAAAATATCTAGATTTTTAAAAATATTTGCCACTCGTCTCTCATTTTTTCATGTTTGCTAATATATTTAACGATAAATTGTAGAAAAAAATAAATCCTTTTCCTTATTTAGAAAATATTAAAAGCTGTTATTTAATTCAATTTACATCTTTAGGCGCATTTGTTTATAATATATTAATTGTAAAAGAATAAAAACATTTGTTCACTGTATTTAAATTTAAATTTTGTAAATGATATAACTTGTGGTTAAACATTGTTCTTAATTACACATATTTCCATTAATATTGAAACAAGCAACAACATATAGTTTCTAAAAAACGTCGTTAGTTTCTCGGCATGAATTACAACAAGGATAAACTTTCAAAGAAATTTATATCCGATTCTTTTACGGCATTTCCTGTAGAAGCACTTTGAAGAGCATGCGATCCTTGCTGAAATTGGGAAAGCAGAGACCACCACGTGCTCGGTCCTGCGACAATAACTCGGAAACCAGAGAACTCCTCGACAGGCAGGATTCCAGCTGCCCAACTTCAAACGAACCTTCACGTACGAATTCCATGACATCTCTTGAAACGAATACGTCCGATAACGACAGTCAACTGAATGCCAAACCTGAGCAAGAAGAGACGGCTGTAAAACCGGCCAAGAGATCGAAACCTAAGGTTAATATCTTTTATAACAATTGATAAAATTTATGTTACGTTGCACCGACATGAGTAGATAAGAATGTTGAATAACATTTTGTCATTCTTGCTTGTGACTCTCCAAAGCACAAAATTTCTTACGCATATGATAATATATATAATAGTATATAATATTAAAAGTATGAAAATTTGCAAATAATAACTGCACCGGATATAAATCTTATATACATATAATTTTTTATATTAATTATTTCATATTTCATATTTATACATTGATTCTGCATAATTAATCAGCTAATTAAATCTATAAATCTTATAATTGCTTATTAAGTCTTCGAAAAGAACATAATTGAATAACATTTTACTATTAATATTTAATTTATATTTAAAAGGACATTTCTTTTTGTACAGTGCGTATTTTGACGACAATATTCGACTGAGGAAACACAATGTGAAAATATTATGTGGAGGAAAAATATATTTGTACATTCCAAGTTCATCAAATTTAAATCTTGATATCAGAATCTTGTTTTATTCGCCAATTTGTGTACGTAATTATAAATGTATCAGATAAAAAAAAAAACATATCTTGTAGAGCGAGAAAACTTCTCACACATACTACTATACAATTAATTCAGGATACATGAATTAATCGGAGACGACAAGCCGACCCAATGAGCAGATGAGACAATATTTTTTAAATGTATTTTTAATATTGATTGTTTATTAATTGTACGTTGTTTTCATATTTTTCATATTTAATATCTTATTCAATATTATATTTTTATATATTTATATTATATATATTATATATTATATTATTGTTATATTTTTATATGTTTTATAAGTTTTAAAATGTTTTTTTTTTTTTTAATTTTGCATAAAAAGTTATTGCTTTACTTTTTTATAATAATTAAAATTTATAAAACAAATTTTGTTTAGAAAAAACGCAGTTCTCGCAATATAAAGTAACTTTAAAATGTCACAATCAATTGCATTAAGCATTATAGCGCGATAATACTGAAGTAACAACTATCTATAAATGATGTCTCAATTATCTCTAAATGAGATTGAAATCGATCGATTCTGAGGACGAGAGAGAATAAATTGCGAAGCATGAGCAAAGTTTTTACGTGGAATTATTTAGTATTTTTTTTTCTTTTTACGACAAGTAGTTATGATCTCATGGCTACTCGTGTATGTCGCAAAATATTAGTAGTTCGTATTAATATTGTGAAGCGATAGGGAGATATGTATCTCTATAAATAGTTTACAAAATTATCAGTATATTATCAGTATAATTCGCGCGATATTACTTTTGCCTCCATTTTAACTTTATGCAGTACTTATTACTTTTACAACTATTAATATTATAAGCTATTTTTTTAGAAAAGATGTGCTTTGAAACCATTTGCAAATATTAAGACATGTTCTAAGTGACATTTTTTTTCTGCGAAAGCATGAATTTCTTATACATTACACTTAAAAAAACATTTTACATGTTACGTTCAATATTTGCTTTCAGAATTTTAAATATAAATATTGCATCAGAAAAATGGAAGAATATTGCAAATGAGAAATATACTTTAAAAATGCTTGAAATTCATTATATTATAATAATATACACTTTGAATATATTGGTTTTTTTTTTCATCTTTTTATTATATTCAATTCATCAACGTAAATTCACAATATTTATTTCAAATTTCTACAACATCTTTAATATATTCAAATCATTCACATGTTGCTTGATATTGCTTCAAACGTGTTATGAATTTTGAAAACGTTTAGAGATAATAAATGTGCATTCTAAGCATTGTCTTTCTTTTTGTTATATTATACAACTAGCGTGAATATAGGGTGAATCACTAAAAATGTTATAGGCTAATATTTACGAGATATGAAATCTGCCTACACGAACATTAATTTTACGTTAACTGCAATGTAAAGTTCCATTTCTGCGTCGAATGCCCGCTTTCGATACCAAACAGTCTCTGGAAAATAAAAATATCATATCTTGTTCAGTTTCAGAAATATTAGCAACACCTGTAACACCTTTAGTGATTTACCTTGTATATATTATTTCTCTCTTAAATTCAAAAGCGTTGCACTAGAACGGTGCCGTTCCATATTTTTCCGTACTTCAGGCGACTTAAATCGAGATGAATCAGCACAAACTTTTCTCGTTTCACAGGCGAGTGACACCTGGCAAAGTGCATTAAAAGCCCAGGATTATCAAGTATGCGTTACGATCATCGAAGCGAGGCAACTCGCCGGTCTCAACATGGATCCGGTGGTCTGTGTACAAGTCGGAGATCAGCGCAAATACACGAGCGTCAAGGAATCCACGAATTGCCCATATTATAATGAAGTAAAAAGCAGAAATGCATTATTTACGCGATTATAGATTTGAATAATAAGAAAAATTTTAATATAAAATTATAATTAAGAATGAAATTGATGATTCCTTATAAAGTTTTTATTTAATTTCCAGATTTCAGAGTATCTTTGTATTATTCGTATTATTATAATTTATATATTTACGGATCTGTAACTAATTCTTTCTTTGTTTTATATTTTCAGTATTTCGTCTTCGATTTTCACATGCCGCCCGTTATGCTCTTCGACAAAATTATCACGCTATCGGTAAGTTTATCCGCATGTGTTAATTTATATTGTGATATTGAAACTCCGAAGCAAGAGGAATCAATTAATTTATCCATTAATATTTAATACTTTGGTAGTGCACTTAATGGCGCGATAAATGCGGGTTTGCGTGAATTATTTTGCTTTATTAAATGTTCCTATCGCTTGTCATAATTACATTTAGAGGGTATTTAAATGCGTATCGGAAATCAATCATTGATAAATGGTTTAAGGGAAGAACATATAAATTCTGTGTGAAATTATATTCGATGATGAGTTAGGCACTTATGATGTTCAAGATGAAAACGTAAATGAGAAGAGATAAGGAAGAAGCTCAAATAGCACATCTTTTAATAATACACAGGTGCAGCAATCGCGGAATCTCTTGCGCGCTAATCTAACGCTGGGCATCTTTAAATTAGACATCGCGACGGTATGGGCACAACCAGGTACAGGTTTCGCATTGTCCAGAGACTATACGAGTCTAATGCTCGGTGTAAATAAGAATTTTATACTTCGAAAGCGACTCGCGATAAACGATTTTGAACAAAATATAATAGCCTAATTCAAATATAAATTACAATGAAAAAACTATATTTTAAAATGCAAAATATATACTATTATTTTTAAAAAATATAGCTTAGAAAATATACAGAAAATATAAATAAATAATAGGTTGGTTACAGTTGTATCCGGAATATGTCAATTATAAGTATATGAAATAAACTATTTCAGTTTTTATAACTATAGTAAAAATCCGTAGCACTTTCTTGATAACAACACTTTTCTTAACAAGTGCCTGTCTATTATATAAATATTGCTTCTTTGAAAAAAAAACTCGTAAATATGTAATTAATATATGTGAGAAATCGTTATTTGATCATTTTTATCGAGAGTTACTGTCGCGAATTAAATTCTCAAATATACACCCGGTATGAGACTCGGTATTTACTCGGTATATGATGGCAAATGTATTTCATTTTATCGGCAAGTGTTATCGGCAAATAAAGTATTTCCTTATTACATCGTTCTTTGCACTTTGCTTGCGAGTTTCGAAGAACTTTGTGTCTGCAAGATAGGTATTTTCTTGCGCTGCATAATTCCAGGAACTTTGAAAGCAGTAAAATTTGTTATGACGCATTATTATCTCTTGAAAAAATCCCAACTCGAATCTTGTTATCTTAATTTTTCATGATCGTGAATTTAAAAGGTTCTCTAAAAGTGCGTGCGCACGTAACACATGTTTCGTAACTGAATAATTGCACGCTTAAGAATTTAACTGGATTTTACTAGCTTACAATTTCTTTTTTTTTTTTTTTGCCAACTTAATCAATAAATGATTGTTGTGATAGTATTTTTTTGCTTCAAAACATTAATCTTAATCAATTTAAAGTAAATGCATTTTTAATATCATTTTATTGAAATTTTAATGTAGTAAACAAAAGAAATTGATTAATTTTGCAATATAAATCCACTTTTGATCTCTTTTTAATGGTAGTCAATCTACTATTTTTTACATATCATACATTGATAATAATCTAAATGTTAGTAGTTTTATATCAATATTTTTATCTCGAATTCTATCACTACGAAACGCACATGTTTCATGTTCCGATCATTATATGCGAAAACATCATTAGCAAATGAGTAAGCATCTTAAGATGTAAATTTCATCGAACGTTAAAGTTGGCATTCTTATCATATATTGTTATAAAATAGTCATATACTAATAGCACTATTACCTATAATAATGAATAAATCAGCATATTCATTTGCAAATGAAACAATATTATAACAAAAAATTTTTCAACCTTTAACATTAAAAAGAATATTAAAAAACAGAACACACAGAAAAATTTATTTTTGCATTGAAATCTAGCGAAGTCACCGTACATAATCGAAACGTATATCTATCGGTCAACATTTTGAATAAAATTGTTAGGGAAAACTATGGAGCGTTGGCGAAATATCAATCATCATTTGTCCGACATATGAAAAAAAAGCGAAAAAAAAAAAAAAAAAAAAAAAAAAACATAAGCCCTATTTTTATCGCGAATCGTTCGCATGCCAGGCTTTTCACCTCCGCATATACATATATATATAGATGTTTCTTACGCATGTATTATACATTCTTCGTAAATGTGTATACGCTCGGTTTAATCCTGAACACATTCTCACACACGCTAAAGTCTTATGTGGCACGGTTACAAATTTTACGATCATCCATACGTCGAGCTAATAAATTGCTCATAATCGGATAAACTTTCAGTCAAATTACTGATATAGGTTCCTTTCAATTCAATTTGTTCGAATTGATAAAACTCGCATGCGATATTCGCCTTAATAAGAAAAATAAATAAAATTATACACGCACATAAACAAATTTCTAAATTTGTTTATTATTGGAAATATTAAATATTTCAAGAATAAAGTTCTAAATTAATATTTTATATAAAAACAGAAAGATTGAAATTAGTTAAATAAAAAGAATTGAAAAAATCTATTAAATATTTTATTTTTAAATATTTTAGAAGTACTTGATTTTTTTTTACAAGAAACATATATCTTTCTTTTTTAGTTTTTTAAAAAGACATTTTATTTTTCGTTAAAAAAAATAATTTACTCTATAACATAAAAAATATCATTAAACTTTTGTCTTGTATACTTGTATTATATCAAGTTATATTACTTCGATACTTTAATAAAGTTGAATAAAGTAATAATATATACATATAACAAGATTAAATGTTCTGAGCAAAGTATCAATTATGCCATTAAAAGTGAAATAAAGCATAATTGTATAGCTATTTAATTACATTAAGATTGCATAATACTCGGGCGCTCTTTTAATATGCTATTTTATCGATATCTTGCATTTATTTATCAAAGACAGACAAATGCTTTGTATTTATTCATGAATGCGCAAAGACGCATTTGATGAAATTATCAGTCTTAATGAAAACTACTCATTAATGCGCCCTGATATTAAAACTGTAATGCGTGGGTGAGGCGCATGGTTTTAGAGAATAAAATATCTATTGAGCGCATTTAAAAAAGACAATATAAGTAACTTTTTGAATGTATGGAAAAAATTTATTTGCTTTGGTTTCTGAATAGTAAACCGCACTCTATTAAAAAAAAATTAACTATCAGTAAAATAAAAATCGCAATTTTCTCAACTGTTATATGCTCCAAAAAACTCGGAAAAAAAATCAGTAAAATAAAAATCGCAATTTTCTCAACTGTTATATGCTAAAAAACACAAAGCCTTTCGGTTGCTTTTTGCAAATCTCTTATCAATTATCAGCTATTCTCTTTCTCTCACTATCTGTGATTTACTGTTATGTATTGTTTTTAACTGTGTGTAAACTATAAATTAGAACTGAGGAGTTCACTCAAAAAGATTAAAACATGAAAAATGTAACAACTATTACACATTGCATATTATTAACAATTCTTTTTTGATATTTTATTTTTATATATATAACCACTTTTCTCTAATTATAGTTTTTTGTGTATATATTTCAAATTGTTTTCCTTTTTTTTATAAAAAGGGACTTTAAAAAATATCAAATTTTAATAATAAAATTTATTAATTTTAAAATTACTTTTTTTTTTAAATAGCATTATTACGTATACTGCTTTTTAGAGTGAACTTCTCGAGTTAATAGAAAATTTCTCTCTTCTTTTAATAAATCATCACGAATCCACATCAGTGTGAACTTATATCCTAGATCATCAGTTTTACCACAAATGGGCTTTGCTCACCGATCCAGATGACATTACTGGTGGCCCCAAAGGCTACCTTAAATGCGACATAAGTGTCATCGGCAAAGGTGATACCGTAAAAATACCTCCGAAAAGCGAGAAAGACGAGGACGACATTGAGGGCAATCTCTTATTGCCCGATGGTGTGCCGATCGAGAGACAACGTGCGAGATTTATAGTGAAGATTTACAGAGCTGATGGCTTACCGAAAATGAACAGCAGTATTATGGCGAACGTGAAGAAGGCTTTCACGGGAGAAGTGAAAGATCTGGTGGACCCATACGTTCAAGTGTCTTTTGCTGGGCTTAGCGTAAGCTCCACGTATCTTTACAACGAATTTAATTAATTATAATATTGTAAAATCCAACAATATTTATTATAATATTGCTATAGTTTTAATCGTACAAACACTAGTTATAAAAACTTGTTTTATAATATAAATAAAAAAATGCTTATATATGATATAAATTTAAAAATCATAAAAAACTAAATATTAAAAGTGTTTGCATTTGAAAAAAGTTAAAACAAAGAGAGAAAAAATAAAAAACAAAATTGTATTTTGTAATATACACAGGCAAAGACAAAAAAATATAATTTTTATTATATTGTCACTCTCATAATTTATTTTATTCTGTATTTAAAATTTTTACCTTAGTAAAATTAATTGCCTTGAAAAATATACTGCTAATTTTATTATTAATTTATATATACTTATAGTAGCTAAATATAAACATATTTTATAACAGAAAATCATTTTTTTTTTTCTTTATCTTTTTGCGATTGTAAGAATCTTACAAGATTACGATTTCTTTCCACGTGAATATATTGTTAAATATACATTTTACAATTTGAATAAAATATAATGTTAAACATAGTGCACATGGAAACAAACCAGTTTTTTTCTATTTATGGGACTTTAGGGGAAAACAAGCGTGAAGAGGAATAGTTATGCTCCGGTATGGAACGAGCAGATAGTTTTCACCGAGATGTTTCCTCCTCTTTGTCAGAGGATAAAGATACAATTATGCGATAACGACCCAGTGCACGCCACTGTCATCGGTACACACTTCGTTGACCTAAAACAGATCAGCAACGATGGTGAGAAAGGTTTCTTGCCAACCTTCGGTCCAGCGTTTATTCATCTTTATGGCAGCATCAGAGATTACAGTCTCATAGACGAGCATTCAACATTGAACACCGGCTTGGGCGAAGGAATCTCATATAGAGCAAGGTTGTGTGTAACACAAAACATTATTTTATTATTATATAAATAATATAAGTAATATTATAATCATGTCGATTACATGAATAAATTATAATAAATTATAATTAATATTAGAATTATTAATAACTATATTAATAATAAACATGTAGACTAAATTAAAACTTAAATTGGAGATATTATAAAATTATTGTCAAATTCACAAGAAATTGCAACTTTGCTTTACTATCTGTCTCGGTTGTTGTTCACGTTTAGGCTATTGATAGCAATACGAACCGAGATTACCGATAATGTGGAAATGGCACCGTCGGAAGTCGAGATGGAACCAACGGTACCGGTCAATGAAACGGCATACGCGAGAAACGAGGAGTTCTTCCTGTTTGCCACGATCATGGATGCCACAATGATCGATAAGAAACTAGGCGACAAGCCAATGTACTTTGAAATATCGATCGGGAATGCGGGCAACGCTCTGGACGGTCACAATGAAAGTTTCAAGGTGAAAAATCTTACGCAATTGATTCTCGGAAAACCAATCAGCTGAAAAGATTTCTTATCAAAGAATATTATTTTAAGCAGATTTTCTTACAGAAGGTGAAAAGAAATATTCTAAAGAGATCAATTTCATTTCTAAAGAATGAAATTTGTTTCGCTTGTCGTAGATGTATGATGCAGGATCGAGGGGTGGAACGAGCGGGGAGGAGAACGATCTACAGGAAGTGCTCACTGGATCCTGGCAGAGTACCACACCGGCTAATAAACCGATGACGCATGATAAGATTTATTATTTTCTACCGTACTGGGATGACAAGCCGTGTCTTCACGTGAGAAGCACATGGCCGGATTACAGACGCAGAATGTATAACAGCAATATCATCGGCAAGATTATCGATAAAATGGTAAATTATAGCAGTTTATAGGTTTAAACTAATTAACCAGAAGTTGATTACTTAAAGCATTACCATGACGTATCAATGATGTTTCAAATATTTAGTTTTATTTTATCAAAATTACTTGATGTGTGCATTTACCTTAATCAGATAGTTATCTTCTCAAGAATATAAAGCCAATAATCGGATTTTCTTTGTATTTTCACTAGGAGGAAGGATTGTCGGAGGTGCAGTTGCACTTAGAGGACTCAACGTGCGAGAAGCTTCTAAAGAGTACCCTTGAAGAGCTGAGCGCCAACTGTAACCGATATGTCAGTATTAGCAAGTCTAGCGTAACCGGTCCAGGCGTCGGGAAGACGAAGTTGGATAAAGAGCGAGCGAAATTGTGTCAGCGGGAGCTAGAAAATATCGGGATCATGTCGCGCAACCTCAAGGCGCTTGTGACAAAAAGTAGCTTCAAGGAGAGATTGAAGACAGCTCAAAGCTATCTGCAGAAATTAAAGTTCCTCGTCGAGGATGTCAGTAGCTGTCATTCAAATGTCATCGTGCATGTCTTACGAAATAAAATTGCAAATCTCTCTTTTTACAGCCGCAAGATTCTCTGCCGGACGTTTTCATCTGGGTAATCAGTTCCGGTAGACGAGTCGCATATCAGAGGATATCATGTCGTGAACTCATCTATTCGGTGGTCGATGAGGAATGCGGTCGACATTGTGGGAAAGTGCAGACTATGTTCCTCAAGGTAAGTAAGTACACTAAAAATAATACTAAGTTTGCAAATATGCAACTGTACCTAAACGTACGATAGATTGATTTGGCTAAACTTAATAATAAACTTATGATACAGTTATTTTTTTACCTATATTTATCAGACATTTTTGCAAAATGTAATTTTAACAATTTTATATGTTATTTTATTTTATTATGTGTGTACAAAATTTATTATTTACTTTTCTTGCATTTAATGTTTAATGTACTTAAAGATTAAATCCTAAAAATTGAGACACATCCGGTTAACAGTTATTATTCAAATAATTTTGTGCTATTCTCGCGTTCAGTAGAATTCATATATAGCTTCCAGGTAAAAAGAGGTTCGGACCGTCGGGATGGGCGATTCAGACGAAATTACAGATCTACATGTGGTTGGGAATACTGAAGCACAAAAAGTACTTTATCCAGAATTTGCCGAAGGGATACGAGTTCAGTCACGAACTGAAGAACGTGGATAAACCGCGCGCTTTGCCGCCCATTATGCTTCACTATGTTCAGAAACATGTATGTATTTTTTTTTTTTTGACTCGCGCAGCTTTCCGAAAATAAATGCATAATCGTACGCCATACTGAATCGATTGCCAGAAATTTCAATTGAGGGCCCACATGTACCAAGCAAGATCACTGATCGGCAGCGACGCGTCCGGTCTTTCCGATCCATTCGCGAGGGTGATCTGCGGTGAATTTTGCAAGTGTACCCAGGTGATCGACGAGACCCTCAGCCCGACGTGGGACGAGCTGCTACTGTTTGATGACATTTTAATCTACGGCACCGCCGAGGAAATCAAGAAAGACCCACCGTCCATCGTCATCGAGCTGTTTGATCAGGATAAAGTGGTAAGTAAAGTTCGCAGTTTCTCGGGTTGATTATATATCTCTTTATTTCTCTATTTTTATAAATACCTTTTTTACGTTATATTATTTTTAAAGTAAAAATTGTAATAAGTGAAAAATCTATCCAAATGCCTTTAGAATAGCAATTATTTCGCGGACCTTTCAAATGTTGTTGCAATTTTATGCAATTTGTGCCATAAAATCCAAAATTGCTCAAGAATATTTAATGCATAAAAAAATCGAAGATTGAGAAAAATTATTTTGTTGTAATTAAATTCAAATACGACTATAATTAAAATTATATAACTAGGCAAAACGTGTTAGTAGGAAGTACTATACAGTCGTTTCTATATTGCTTTTATGATTTCGTAATCGTTCTTTTTGCAGAGTCATATTGTAGCTATGGACATAACACTGTATGAGGGCTCTGCTTCAACAGTTTGTATACAACATATTGACATTTACCTATACGATGCCGGATAACACGACGCACGTTATACGACACTCGCACCGGAAATACCGTAATTTAGCACGGCACTCGTTTATGTTAGGATATAAAAACACAAAGAGCAAGCAGATTCTTGTTACATCAACATTCATGAATATGGAATTTCGCAGATTGCAAGTTTCCAACTTGTGAAATTGCTGCGGTAGCCAACGGAAAGTCACATGCGCACACACACAACCGCACAACCGCAAATAACTTTTGCACAACACTTGGTTTTCTTTACCTTATACGGTTTCATGCTATTGTGAACAAGTACATTTCTCTGTCTATTAATAGCAGTATTGTAATTATAATATTTCTACACACGAAATATTTCCAAAGAAAAGTATGCATCGTTATCGGAAAGAAAAGCATATAATATCAAAGTATAAAAGCATATAAATTAAAGAATGTTGACAAAATTTTTTTTAAATAATATATCATAATTTGGGAAAAACACTCCTAAAAATATTTATTTATTTGAAAAACTTGTTAGTTAAAAAATTTTATGTTTAATAATAACTTATTTCCCGAAATCTAATTCACACATACAGAGTTGCCTTTTAAATGAGAATTAAAAAATATTCTATTAGTTATTTTATTGTGAACAAATATATGTTATCATTTAATAAATAATACATAATAATGTTTTTTATTGTAAAATAAAAATTAATTCAGATTACATAAAATTATAAACGCTATAATCTGTTTTCTCCAAAATGTATTCCCTCTTTTTTATAAATGCATTTATTTCATAGATCCATGTAATTTAACCTTTTTTGCATTTTCTCACGGTGTTCATGAATACCTTAACTATAAGTATATTTAAATCTACTGAATTTAAATGATATTTAAATCCCTCCTTCCACACACAATTTCCTGATATTCTCATAGTCACATAATCGATGAGTGACACTTTCGCCTCGTACGCATCGGAATTTCTAAAAAATCAATTTTTCAGGGAAAATCGGAATATATTGGACGAGCGATTGCCCGACCTCACGTCAAACTCGCCTCTGAGCCCTACACTCCTCCGCAATATCCGCCATCGTTGGAATGGTATGACGTCACTAGAGGTACCTCGAGGGCTGGTGAACTTTTGGCGGTCTTCGAATTGTTGGAATATCCCTCTACCAAAGATTATGGCTTTCCTACTCTGCCTGATGCCAAAGATCCCAGTTGCGGCTCTCAGATTCCAGGTTCCGGTCAGGATCAAGGCCCGATTCTTCCGGTGCCCGTAGGAATCCGACCTACTTTGGCGAAATATCGGTAATGCCGTTGGCTTTTTTATATTATTTGTTCAATCAAGATTTTTTTATATATTTTTTTAGATCTTGTTTTAAATGAAGATTAATGATCAAAATAAATTACATAGAACCGACACTATAGAAACGCGCGCGCGTTTCTCCTTCAACGTCACCGTATATGATTAATCTTTTTAGTACCGAGCTTTTATGCGGAAGAAAAAAAATGTATAAAATAAATGGTTTTTACATAACTATATAGACATAATAATCGTAATCAATGGTTTTAGAATCGAAGTGCTTTTCTGGGGTTTGCGAGATTTGAAAAGAATTCATCTTTTGACCGTCGATAAACCGCGTGTGGACGTCGAATGTGCCGGACACATTCTCTACTCGTCTGTCATAGCAAATGCGAAGAAAAACCCAAATTTCAACACGCCGATTAAATTTCTGGAATTGGAACTTCCCGAGCAAGAACTTTATCGACCGCCATTGACCATAAGAGCGGTGGATTGCCGGAGTTTCGGCAGATATACCCTCGTCGGTACTCACACCATCAATTCGATTCACAAATATATGTACTATCCTTTGACCAAAAGGGCAAAGGATGCTCAGGAGAGAAAAAAGAGCTTGTATCAACTACAATATACAGGTAATTGTGTAATTAATTTCGAGACTATGAAACTGCTTTGTAATTATGATAAATAGAACTTTGTGGAATAAATAGAAAAATTAATATAATATACATAATTTAAATAAGTATGATTAAATTACCGGAGTAATAATAATAGTTTCATTATTAGAGAATATATTTATTTTAATTATGAGATATATATAATAAAATATTCTCTTTTATTAAGTATTAAATTACTTATAACACTATATTTGAGTAGTAGTTACAAAAAAATTAAATTGTTATTTTTTTGTAAAATTATCGAATTAAATCAATTTTGTTATAAATATATAATTTTTTGTGAATTAAATCTGTATCATTTTTACCTCTTGAATTTCTAAGTTTTATATGTTTATTGTAGCTCTTGATTCATCTAAATCAAGATATCAACAAACATCGTTGCCTGATTCATTGACCGACTTGGAATCTAATAACGGTGATACCATTATTACTCTGGGATTCGATATAGGATGTGGTTCTACAAAGAAGGACAAAACGGAGCAAAACATACGTAGGAAGCAGAGCTTAGCCAATGACAACAGCATAGGTGTGTTCTGAAAGCTATATTTAATTATGTATTTAAAATCGAGAAATTTATTTAAGATTGAGATATTTTAATTAATATATTTTTAATAACTCTTTCTCTCAGGCAATATTCTATTATACATTATTCCACTAATTATATTTAATTTTAAATACAATCTATATAGCAGATTTCTTTTTAATATTTTTAGGTGATTTAGGTGCGTTAGAGGACGAAGATGGCTGTCAAGACTGGTGGACGAAATACTTTGCGTCCGTGGAAACGATGATCGAAGAGAACAAAGAACTGCGTAAGGAGAAATCCATATTCCAAAGCCAACCAAACGGAACGTTACCGATGCTCCTGGACGAAACTGTCGCGCAAAGCCAGTTAGTTGCTTCGGGCGAGAAGAATTCCGGAATTACCCATACGAAAAAATTGTTCGGCTTGAAATCACCGACGAACGCAACAAGATTCTCGAAGCTCAGCCCGAAGCACACCCAATACAATACCAAAAAGACCGCTCTCCTCAAGATTTATCCCGGAGAGCTGGAAACTCAGCTTGAATTTGAGCAGTTCAAGGAATGGTTGCATACATTTGAGCTATACCGCGGGAAGAAAACCGGCGACGAGACCGAAGACGAATCAAGAATTGTCGGCAGCTTCAAGGGTGCACTGAAGGTCTATAAATGGCCGCTACCCAAGGATCTGGTGAATCACACCGTGATGGGTTTCGATCCGCAGTACGGATTCTTTCAGGGTGTCCCGTCTAACGAGCCTATTCACGTCCTGGTACGGGTTTACATCGTCAAAGCTAACGATCTTCATCCTTGCGATCTGAACGGAAAGGCGGATCCCTACGTGGTCTTACAACTGGGAGGCAAGAGAATCAGCGACAAGGAGAATTATGTATCGAAACAACTAAATCCTGTTTTTGGAAAGTATGTGTTCTATATATATACTATAGCATTATAATAATGATATAATATTGCAATCAAGAATATTGATAATATAAAAATTTGGCTTAAAAATTATGGCTCATGAAAATTAAATTTTTATCGGGATATTGGCATTTTTTATTTTTACAAATTTCTAGTAAATTATGTAATTTAACTTTATTATGAAAAGCATATTGTTCATGCTTTGCAAAGCTTTTGTTTCTTTCTTTTATTTTATTTAATTTATTTTTCCTCTTATTTTATGTATAACTGTATATTTGCTCTTTTAACATTTGCGCATTCATATTTTTTTATCTCAAAAAACAAATTAAAGTTTCGTTCTTTATGCTCATTTATAATCTAATTGCGGAATTCGCGTTTTTAAGGTGCTTTGAGATCGAGGCAACGTTTCCACAGGACTCCCTGCTCACCGTGCAAGTCCTAGATTGGGACCTGGTTGGAACAGACGATATGATCGGGGAGACCAAGATTGATCTAGAAAATCGCTTCTATAGCAGACATCGCGCTACGTGCGGACTCGCGAAGAAATACGACGAGTGAGTCTAATGAGTAGCAATTATTACGACGTGCATTGCAAATAAATTTCAGGCTTCAGCAATTAAACAAATCGTGTCACGCAATTCGGTAATCTAACAGCGGAGCGACTTTTTTATCGCATCAGCAACAACCATTTATTTAAAACTGGCGAATGAATAAAATACGTGCTGTGATTTACTTTTAACGAGCTTTTCTGAATTAAAGATTACTTTTACACCGCAATCTCCTTTAATCTAATTTATGCTGAACCCTTTCTTTAAGAGTATTTATGTGTTATAATTATCCATATATATTTTCATATTAATATTTTATAAATTATACGTTTATGTCAACATAAGTTTATGTCAAGATAAGAGAAAAATTTGAAAACTTAAATAAAATTCAATATACAAAATTAATTAGATGTTATTTTTACTTCAGGACGGGATATAATAAATGGAGAGACGCAATGAAGCCGACTCAGATACTTTTGAAATTATGCAAAGATGGCAAAATCGATGGACCAGTATATTCTCACGGACGCGTTACAATCGGGAGAAAAACATTTTCCCTTTCAAATGAGGAGATGGAATATTACGTGCATACGAAGGGTATGTGGAAAGATTTTGATATAAAAGAATACGCAAGATTCTAAATTCGCAATTCTAACAATAAATTAATTATATATATTTCTACGCGATTATAATCTTTGTGTACATTTATTTTTTTATTTTATTATTCTATACATATTTATTTGTTAATTGTTATTATATATTATATATATGATTAATGGAGCTTCTAAATATGCAGTTCCGGTTACATTAATATAGAATTTTTTTTGATTATTTTTTCAGGAATGGAAGAACATCTTGCCTTAGCAGTTCTCCATCAATGGAGCAGCTTTCCGCGAATAGGTTGCGCTCTGGTACCCGAGCACGTGGAAACCCGACCGCTCTATAATCCGGAAAAGCCCGGAATTGAACAGGGAAAATTGGAAATGTGGGTGGACATGTTTCCAATGGATATGCCTTCACCTGGATCATCTATCGATATTTCACCTAGAAAGCCCAAGAGTTATGAATTGAGAATTATAATATGGAATACGGATGACGTCGTCTTGGAGGACGACGCCTTCTTTACTGGCGAGAAGATGAGCGATATTTATGTAAAGGGGTAAATTCCTCCGTTCAAAAAAAAAAAAATTTGGTTAAGATTTTTTTAAAAACAGCTGTTTAAATGTACAAGCAAATTGTTACATTTAGAAAACTCTAATGATAATTAATCAAAAATACGAATTCCTTACAATTGCAAATTATTTTCTCAAAATACTCTGAGAAATACATATATTAAGATGTTAAAAACTTTGTTACAAAATAGAGATATATGTGTTTGATGTAAATTTGTATTTTCATATTTTACATTTAATTTTGTAAAACTTTAATTTTTTAAATATTCTTAATACTTTTGAAATATAATTGTTTGTACATTTATTTAATAATTATATATTATATAATTATATACGTAAAGAAAAAGAGAGAGGAAAGTTTTATTTTACATATCTATTACTTTTAACAGCTGGTTAAAAGGACCGGAAGATTGCCAATCCACCGATATTCATTACCGATCATTGACCGGCGAAGGAAACTTCAATTGGCGCTTCATATTTCCATTTGATTATCTGGTAGCGGAAGAAAAGATCGTTATTAATCGTAAAGAAAGCCTGTTTAGTTGGGACGAAACCGAGTGCAAGATACCAGCGCGCCTAGAATTGCAGGTAATTCCGAACGCGTGAACAATCATTGCTTTCGCGATCTCGTTCCGATAGAAAATAACGACGCTTTTTGCAGGTCTGGGATGCAGATCACTTTTCTGCAGATGATTTTCTAGGTGCTATAACTCTCGATCTCAATCGGTTTCCCCGAGGAGCAAAGAACAGTAAGCTTTGCTCGTTGAGTATGCTGAAGACGGACGGCTCTGTGCCAACGGTCAACATCTTCAAGCAGAAACGTATAAAAGGCTGGTGGCCGTTTTATGTAAAAAAAGAAAACGAGGATATGGAACTAACAGTAAGTTGACAATTTTAACATAAAAAATAAATCTACAAAATGTTATATATATATATATATTTATATAACATATGTGATTATATAAAGTAAGATGGCTAAATATCTTAAGTTTATTTCTATAAGAAAAACCAAAGATAGTATAATAATATAATATAATATATATATATATATATATATATATGTATATATATAATAACAGTTCTTTCTTGTGTCTCTCTTTATATTTAATATCTTTTTATTTTTCTTTGCAGTCGACCAGACGCATCCTTTATGTGGTTTCTCAATCCGCTAAAATCTATCAAATACATAGTTTGGCACAATTACAAGTGGGCTATTTTGAAGGCTATAGTCGCAATCGGTTTGATCATACTTATGCTCTTATTCTTTTACGCAATACCAGGTTACTCCGTGAAAAAGATCTTAGGAGCTTAAATGCTACTCGTCGCAATGTATAATTGCTATTTTCGGTATATAGAGAACAGTTTTTGACGATTTGAAGGTATATATAATCGAATTTCTATATTATTACGTTTCACAAAATCAACATAAATAAATATATGTTATTGAATTAATTTCTTCAATTTTTTAAAAATGATGTTGATTTATGGAAATTAAAATTATTTTATATTAGCGATCAAATAAATGGACATTCGACTTTATAAAATATAAATGGATCTCAGTAGGGTTAATGAATATAGGATATTTCTCTGAGCCAACTTATATAAAAACCGTAATTGAGAAATATCTGCTTTATATAAAAAAATATCAGATTGAACAAAATATTTTTCGAAAAAGTAGAAATCGTTTATCTCTCTTGCATTGTTTCATATTATAATTGTCATAGAGTAGCAGAGATTATTTGTTACGTAAAAGTGTATTGTTGTAGATGATTTTAATAACGTATACTTTGTCTCTGTACGAGTTGTGCAATGATGTAGTTTATCATAGTTAAAAGAAAAAAATCTTTTCGATTATCAGTTCATAGTGGACCAAAGTAACACCAGAATAGTTGCAAACTAGAATTACATTGTAAATAATTCATGCGCACAGTGAAACAACAGTGGAAAACGAAAAAAGTATAATAGAGTAGTGGCTTGTACAAAATAATCTATTTTTACTCGTAATGTTCTGTCATAGTAATGATCGTGTTTCGCGGGCGAAAACACAGAAAGATCAGCCGACTATTCTCCATTATCATCAGCAGATTGCTCATTATATATTAAGAAAGAAATATATGTGTGTAAAAAGGGATAAAAATAAAAAAATCTGAAAGGCGTAAAATAATAAATCATTTTATTGTTCTGTAGACAACGCTGAAAACTTGTTAGCTACAAGCGGCATATCATTTTCCTCGCTCGACGATTCCATTGAACCATTATTCGTTGTATTTCGAGAAGATTTTTGTTCTTGCTTTTCGTTGTAGGTTTCTTCGTCTTCGGAAGATATATATTCAATTTGTGTATCGCGATCATCTCCTTGATTTCTAGCTTGAATCCATTTTACTATTTCAACATCTGTATGATTTTCCCATTTTTCTGGAAACAAAATTCATTAAAAAATGTACGTCATTTATCCCAAATATAATTTCTCAAGTGTGTGTATATGTGTGTATCTCTTTCATAATTTTTAAATTATGAAAGTATTTGCAATAATATATTTTACTGAATATATTTTTATGAAGATATTTATATTTTAACAAATAAAAAAGAATGAAGGGAGAGTAATACCTTTATCAATAGCCCAATTTGGCGGATATATGTACAAACAAATCTTTCCTTCTAACGCCATTCGTAACAACGAATTTGCCGCTCTATATGTGTCCAATCTAGCCGCTCGGGCCGTTATAAAATCCCTTTTCATAGCCCAACCATCGCAGATGTCCATAGCGGACCATGTATCATCATTCTCTGGATGAGAAATCCTCAACAGTTTCGGTAGATCCATCCTTTCAGCCAGAAACTTTACGGTCGTGTACGGTTCTCTGACTTGAGCGATCGGAAACGAGCCCATTAATATTTGCAACTGTTTTGGTACAGTTGAGGGAAAGACTAAACCAGGGCAATCACATAAGCACACGGTCTTCGTAAGATAAATAGTTTGAAAATGTTTGGTGTGGCCGGGTGTGCGAGACACGCTTACGACTTTTTTGCCTGCAAAATAAATAGATATCAGAGAGATTCATACTAACATCTCACATTTAATAGCAAATGTAACTGTTTGATGTTGAAGTTTGTCTGCTATTATAAATCTCAATACGATTTTATTTTTCTGACTTAGAATTAAAAATAATCACATTTAATATAGAATATAAGTATTTTTTTAAAATTGTTGATTATAGATTGAAAAATCTTGCATACCCATCAATGCATTCATTAAGGACGACTTTCCAACGTTTGGTGTTCCAAGGCATCCAATGGTCAGAATTCCATTTTTATATTTTTCGTGTTTGAAATAAGTAGTATCCTCCTTCTGTATTGTTACATTATCTTTATGGTCTATGTCATCTAGATCGTACTCCGAGTGCATCTCCTCCTGAATCTTCTCATGCCAGGAACTTAAATCGACCTTGTCCCTGACAATGTCTTTACAAGCCTCCAATAACTTTTGTGCTCCTTCCGCGGCCATCCGTAATTTTCCTTTACGACGTCTTTTCTTTATACCTTCCTCGTTGTTCGTATTACCACGAAGATTGTAAGTAGGATATGAAGTAAACATTAAAATATGTAATTTTGGATATTGACTGCGAAAATATTCCTTCCAAGCTACTACCAAGGCTGGAGGCGCTAAATCAACTTTGTTTAGTACCAAAATCATATCTTTTTGCAACTCGTTCGTCACATAATGGTACAAATATGGAGGAAACATCAGAACAGTGTATCGAATATCAACAATGATCAACAGAACATCCGACATCTCTAAGACTCTCCACAATTGTCGCCAGGTTTCTAAATTCAGTTCAAAGTAACTCAAGTTACCTAATTCTTCCATGCTCTTTAAGTATTCCTAAATACAAAGAATTATTAGGTAAAAATAAGTTCAACATAAGCTAGGATTTTGTTTAACACAGATTCGCAACTGCATACTGTGAAATATCTCTGTTCTCTTATATCTAATTGCTCTCTCGTCATATTAAAATCCCATGGAGGTCGCTTTGGTATATCAAACCCAGGTGGAAAATAATTGTCGGAAATTTCTTGATCCTTGAGGTTTACGGGCTCAATACTTCTTAAGGCTTGTTCCTTGCGTTTTCGCAATTCCTCGTTGGTTTCTTGAAAGAATTGTAATGCATATCTATTCCTTGAAGATTTATCTCTTGGTTGTTTATTTATCTTTTGTACTTGTTTTCCACACTCTGCATTGCTCGCATTGCTAGAGCACTCGTCCTCATCATCATCTTGATTTATTGGTAATATATAAATATACATATTGTTATTTTATCTTTCACAGTAATAATCATAAATTGCTATCACTATGATAAGAATCACAGATGTAAAATATGGTAAGTGATTTTATAATTAAAATATAATTTGCTAAAAGCAAAATATGTGCAAGAAAAAATATATTTCACTAATATATTTTCTAATAAAATTAGAAAGTAATATATTTAGTAATATATTTTTATATTTTAATCCCAAAAACAAATTTTTGTTATCTTTAAATTTACAAAAATTACAAATTTGTGTAAACATATATGCGATATATAAAAAGAGAGATAAAAAAATAAAAGATTTATCAATAGAGGAGGAAAGAGAAATAAAGAAATGTGTCAGAATATTCGTATAACATTTTATAGATAACATCTTAAAAATAATAAAACCGTTGGATACCGAGATCTTTTATTCTAAACCTTCCAAATGCCATTAAGTCTTTAATTAAGATATTGACATACAATATATACCGAGCCAAGTCCGTTGCCGTTGCTTTTTAACCTGCATTTGCAGCTTCTTGGCCTTTCCACTGAACGGAGTTTTTCGCCTTCCTTGAGGCATGTTTCCGCAACTTCTTTACTTCTCCTCAAGCACTCAACTCGGATTCTAAGTATCAATCGAATATAATCGAATATGATTTATTTATCAATTTATTAGCCTTGACTTTGTGATCAAAGCCACTATACTCTATGCCCAGTATTATATTACTTGCGGCATGGCGATCTGTCACTTCGGTAAGAAAGTAAATGCCTATCAGCTGATCGTCAGCTGATACAGCAGATAACTGAATAATCCATTTTAGAGCCGTCGGAACTACAGATTCATTTTTCGATGCCACGGTAAAACGGGCGATAAGTGCATGTCCATGCTAGATCCATAATTGTCAATCAAAAATGTGGAGAAATATTATGGATTTATTAATATTTTATTAGCTACGCGTGATGTTTTGTCATTCTAATATATATTATACGGACAGCGATAATAAGTTTTATTATTGAACTATTTTTATGTGCATGATAAATAATGAAATAATATGGTTTTGAATTATATAGCTTTTTATTATTAACTAATTATGTTATTATATTAATTATATTATTTAAATAATTTTTTAATTTATAAATTCAGTTGGATGCACTAGTGCGCACTGATGTATATTAAAAGCTATTATATACAAATTTATATAAGCATAAGTAATTAAAACAATAAGATAATTAATACTACAAAAGTCTTTTGAAAATAAGCACATAATAATAAATACGCTCCACTTAATGTTATTTTGCGGAGATTAACGTTCGAAGAATAAGATTCTTCGCGCTTCCTTGTCACCTAACGTTTCAGAGCGAAAATAGTGTCTAATGGAGTATACCTATTGATTATACAAAAACTTTTATAAAATTTTTATATTTCTTATATTTTTGGACGTAATTTTATTTTTTATTAATAAGATTTTTCCGAATGAAATGACATCAAAAAACGCGATATTATTCGGATAAATTTCAATTAAATACAAATCTAAAAATTAGATAAAAATTTGTTTCCTTATCTAAATAAAAATTATCCGAATTATATTGTATTTTTTTGTCATTTTAATTGCAAAAATCTCATTAATCCATTAAAATTATTTTTAAACCGATAAAATACAAGTAAGAATTTCTCTCAAAGTAAGAATCGAAATGACAGAAATCCAAATTATAAATTATCGTTTTGTTGCGATCTTTACGAACAATAACTATTTTTCTATCGATACTTAAAATAAAAATATTTCGTCTTATGCTTTAACAATTTTTCAATTATTTAAATATAATTCGAATGGAAAACGCGCAATTAAACAATCGAATTGTAGGATTGAGTAATTAGCATTACGAAAGGCTTCATGATACATCAATCATTTAATAAAAAATTAATCTACAATTTAAAATATTTTTATACATTAATATTTCGCGTGTACATATGATATAATACGTAAAATATTACAACAAATTATCAATAATATGGTATTTGGCCATGGCAGCGTAAACATTAGCGCTCTATTGTTTACGTGTTACGGCTTTGTTATCATTCGTACGGCAACAGTCGAACAGTAATGTAGTATTGCGAGACGCTTTGTCAAATTCCTTTTCTAAACGCGATCGCGACGAGTATCGGGAAATAATCTGATATAATTAATAATTGATTCTCTCTCTTTCTTTTACTTTTTAGGCAATAATTATTTAAAAATACTTAAAATTAAATATATTTTGTCCGATATTTTTTCGTTCGACTTTTCGACGATCTAAATATGATTTGGATTGAGAACGCGCAATAAAATGGTCCAATCACAGATCCGAGTAATTAACATAACGATAAGCACCGTGATATATTAATCGTTTATTAAATAATCTCGATCTATAATTTAAAATATTTGTATAATTTAATATACCGCTTGTATATACACCATAGTATAGAAAATATTTCGGCAGCAAATTATCAATAACAAGTATTCGGCTTTGGCGGCGTAAACATTAGCGCGCTATTGTTTACGTTTTACGGTTTTGTTATTATTCGCACGGCGACACTTGAATAATACTGTAGTAGTGGGAGACGCTTCGTCACAAATTCCTTTCCTATAATATTTATTATCATTCACGCGAAGACATTCGAACAGAAAAGTAGTGATGCGAGACGCTCCGTTACATTTCTTTTCCACACGCGATCGCGTCAACTATCGGGGAATAATTTGCTTGTCGCGTCGTCGATGCCGTGTGCCGTCATCGTGCCGCGGACGGCTTTCGCGTTTTTCGCGTCGCGTGTCAGTACAGCAATGCCACGAGTCGCACAATGGCTCATATGTGGCACTCGCATTTATGCGTCGAACGGACATTAGTGCGTCGTCGGTGCCGTCATCGTGCACGAGCAACGATGCGTCGCGTTTTCGCGTTTTCGCGTCGTCGCGTTTTCGCGTTAGAGCTCTATCCCGTTTTCACGATTCAAGGATCATACTTCGTTGCCGACTAAATGGGATGTCTCTCAGCGTTGCAATCTTTAATATATTAATACCTATTAATATAATTAATTTTATATTAATATCAATTAATATTAATACTATATTAATATTATATATTATATAAATATTTATGTATTAATAAATTTAATATATTAATGTAGG